GTGAGTGGGGCTTGAGGAAGTGACGTCGCCTGCGTCTGCGCAGTGCGACCTGATGCAGCCCCTGAAGGGAGACACAGGAAACAGAAATACTGCAAAATAATAATAATAACGTGACTAAACGGGACGAAATAACGTTATAACATTTCGTTTCGTCTCGTTTTGGTCAACGAAAATGAAGAGACATTTTAGCATAGTTTTTATTTTGTAAACCACATTTAGTCTCGTTTTTATTCGTCAACGATATTGCATTATACATTTAATTATAGTCATCGTCACATGACCAGCATTTTCGTCTCGTCTCGTTTTCGTCACGTAATAAAGGTTCGCTACATGGCATTAAATAAAAAATATACTACTACTACTCAACACAACACAAAACAAAAGCGCATTCTGTTATCATCGGCATTTTGTCAAAGTGTCTAATTCTAACGTTTGGTAATATTTCTATTTAAAATCGCGATTCCTCGATTTCTAAAAATAAAACTCGAATTAATGGATAAAATCGGAAACATCGCCCAGCCCTAATTGGAATGCTTGGGAAAGATCACGTAACTTTAGAACCGCCTTCTGTCGGTGCCGCCTTCATTTACTTACTAGTTTTCATCACTTTCGCTTTAATTCTTGGGCACGGACTCATTTGCTAGCCGACCGTCGGCTTTACCATGCGAAAGCCCGTTTCTCTGACTCTGTGTTGGGGGTAACGCATTACAAGTAACGTGAGTTACGTAATCAGATTACTTTTTTCAAGTAACTAGTAAAGTAACACATTACTTTTTAATTTAGAAGAAAATATCTGAGTTACTTTAATAAATAAGTAACGCCAGTTACTTTTTTATTCCATTTATTGATTGAAAGCTCTCCTGTCCCCGTGTTGAGAGAAATCGGGAGTAAGATGTTACTTTAGTTCTAGAATAAATGTGAACATGCTTTAATTCATCTCACTCACACACAAAAAAACAGATTTAGTTTTCTTCAAAATTAAAGCAACTCAGAATGTCACAAAGCTGCAATAATTAAATGTTAAATAATACAAATATCCTTTATGTATTCAATCCCATTTTATTAACCAATTTGCTGCTGACCTTCGATGATCCAATTCAATCATACTATGTATTTAATCCCATTTTATTAACCAATTTGCTGCTGACAATGATCCAATTCAACCATACTAATAAGAAAAAATTACACAAGATAAACTAACATTTCTTCTTCTTCTTTTTTATTGCTGAAGAGTGTTGAACTTTCTTCTTCTGTGTTCTACTGTACAGACGTGAATTTACATTTCCTTCAGCCTGAGGCTTTTGGTGTGAAAGGGCTTTTATATTTGCCAAAAATATAACTTTTTTATATTAAAAGCAAACAAGCAAGCCCCGCCCAGATTTTAAAAGTTACGCAAAAGTAACGTAACGCATTACTTTCAATAAAACGTAACTAAGTAACGTAATTAGTTACTTTTTTAGGAAGTAACGCAATATTGTAACGCATTACTTTTAAAAGTAAGTTTCCCCAACACTGGTCCCGTGTGTGCAGCGAATCCTCTGGAGTTCCTGAGGAACCAGCCGCAGTTCCTGCAGATGAGACAGATCATCCAGCAGAACCCGTCTCTCCTACCAGCTCTACTACAGCAGATCGGCAGAGAGAACCCCCAGCTCCTGCAGGTACCATTTTACACTGGACATTAAATGGTGATAGTGGTGTGCGATATTGACAAAAAAATAATATCTCGATATTTTCTGGGATTGTATCGATTGGATTATATTTTGCTGAGTGTGTTATTGTGCTGGTGTGGACAGCAGACTCCTGAAGTTTTTGATATTCTTCATATTCAGTGTGGTGGTCAGATAGAAATTAATCTTTTACAATAGGTTTAAATAGTTTTTTACATTTTATGGGCATTTTTTTTACCTTTATAAAGCCTTTTTTTTCTTCTAAAAGTGTCCATTGTCTTTTGAGTCAAATTTTTACATTTAATCAGTGAATTAGAATAATAAGACATTTGAGCTGTTACCAAGCAAATTAAATCAGTATCAACAAAATTCATCTTTGCGATGCGGAGAAAACACAGAAGCTGCGTCTGAAATGGCATTTAGATGTATTTACTCACTGTTTAATGCAGTGCATTTAACCTGCAATTACAAATGCATAAATAATGTTTTGGTATATTAATCATAAAACATTGAATAGATACTTTAAATGTGAAATTAAAACCGCCAGTAGGTGGCAGCAAGTCTTAATAAGTGAGTGAGTCATTGCGATTGAACCGAATCATTTAAACGGATGATTCATTCAGGAACGAATCACCGTCATGTTGCTCAGAGAGACGCAATACAGTGCTGTGGCTGTGTTTGGAATTATTTTTGTTGTCGAAATAGTGCAAAAACAGGCAATATGGTGTCTAAAACGTAAGTCTCTTAATAAAACTTCTAGTTTATTGAACTGTTGTAAAAAA